ATTTTGTTGAGTTAAAACAAACAGAATTTACTCCAATAGTGCCCTAGAAATGTACTAAGAGAGGAAATGTACCAACGAAAAAATTCTTGACAGTGATATACGTGTCTGTCATTTTAATTTTAAAGTAGTTTATTTTATTTTACAAAGAACAAAGTTTGTACAATTGCAATTCAAAACGGGAAATTAATATGTTTAAAATTTTAGTGACATCATTCTGGTAACTACGAATATTAAAGAATTAGAAGAAAAGGTAATTGCGGTACCCCTGTATTGTTGTACCAAACCTTCCGCTCATTCTTTCTTTGCGTTAAAGCACCGATTTTTTTTCAAAGTTCCCGATGTCCGTTGGCTTCTGCTGCTTCCTCTAGTCTCTCCAAAAAAGCCTTGCCCTAAAGTTTCAAAGCGTCTGTATTCCAGTGCCGGACAGTGGCACAGCAGGTGCTCTATGGTTTCTTTTTCCTCTCCGCATTCTCTGCAGTTGTCGACGTTGGAAATCTTCCATCTCACGAGGTTTACCCCCGTGCGGCAGTTTCCAGTGATGACACCTACAATTATGCGTACTAGGTTCTTTTTGTGCTCTAGTAGTTGTTTTGTCTTTTTGCTATCTACCACTAGCCATAGTCTTCAAGCTGTAGCGCAGTCCTCACGGTGTTGTCACGTCTCTTGCTGCTTGGCCTTGATGGTAGTTTCTATAGCTTCCTTCAGTGTGTTGATCGTCACAAGTGGTGGCCCATCTACCACGGCCTCTCCCCTAGCCCCCTCTTTGGCGAGTCTGTCTGCTTCTTGAATACCCACCACATTGCTGTGGCCTGGCACCCAGCACAGAGTAGTCCCGCCTTGATGCAGCCAGGACAGTGCTTCTCGGCAGTCCATCACAGTTTTCGTTCTCACTGGTTGCATGATGATGCTTCTTAAAGCACCCAAGCTGTCAGATTATATCACGATATCCCCTATTGGTCTATCAGAAATTTTCTCTCGTATACAACTAGCCGCTTCCTTTATGGCGTAAATATCTGCTTGTAGAACATTACAGCCATCCGATAGCCTTAAAGATCGTCGGATGTCTAGTTTCTCTGAGAAGATGCCTATACCTGTGCCTCCTGAAGTTGCGGCAGCATCTGTGTAGACTGCTATCTCTTGAGTGTTCATTACTCGGTTGCTTTCCCATTCTTTTCTTGTCGGGATGCGAATCTTTCCTCCAAAATCATGTTTGGTGAGCATATAGTCCGTTTTCTGGTCTAACAAATGTGGATTAGTGTTCGTCATGATTTTCCCTATCACTATCAGGATTTTCCTCAGGATCTCAAGTGAGCGTAGTTGGTCTGGTTCCACAGATTGAATTTCCTTAATCTTAGGGTACGCTTAGCGGCCAGATCCTTTACGAACCACTCGATTGATTGCAAAAATACTATATAAAACCTAAAATTCGAAAATCGAGTTATTTTACTCGTATTCATAAAAAAGTTTAAGCTGTGTGTTAATACAAAACAAACAAAGGTGTATGTTAAACAAAACTAGATAAAGAATCAATAAAAGGGACAATTTCTAACTTTTAAACTTCAACAAACTTCCTGCCATTTATTTATTTTTAGTACGTCGTAATTTATGTAGGAACAAACAATTTTTAATGTTGCAGGAATGAAAAAACAACATAAATAAACAATACAAAATATTGTATTAATAATAATTTCAATAAATTACAAACACATTCTCAATTTTATATCTTAAAAGTTGGTTACTTAACTGGAATTTTAATGTTTTCAAACCAGTACCCATTTTGACCTTATCTCTCTGCAACAATAAAAGCTATTATACAGGGTGGGCCACTGAAAACTTACAATGGCTATAATTTTTAAACCAAAAAAGATATCAAAAAAATAAAAAATACCGTTTCTATAATATCGAGGGGGAATACATATGACGTATTTTTTGAACCACCACGACCTACCCCTTAGAAGGCACCCCTTCTAAATTGAAAATCTTAAATGGCAACACCCCACTTGTGGCGTCTTTTTGGAAAGCTCATGAAAAATACTAAATGATGATCATAAAGTTTTTAGGGTGAAATTGAAAAACTACCCTTACACGAACAATTAGGTGGACATTAATAAAAAAGGTGATTTTTTCAGCATAAGTTACAAATTGGGACCCAGCTAAATGAAGTGTTTTTCAAATCACCCCAACCCACCCCTAGGTGGCACCCCCTCACTTCTAGTCTCAAGATAGCGATACCCCACATGTGACACTTCTTTGGAAAGCTAATTGAAATTGCTAAAAGATGGTCATACAGACTTCAACTTAATTACTGGTTAGTGACAAGAAATATAGGTGTGACAATTTGAAAGAAATTTAAAATGATAATTTATTTTAATAATTGCTCAAAATGACAGCCGTTTTGTTCCATACAAAAATGTAGTAACAAACGATTTTCAAATTCTTCTCTCACTTTTTGGAAAGTTTCTCTCGAAATATTTCGACATGCTTCAGTTATCCTCTGCCGCAATTCTTGCAACGAACCTGGTTTTGTCTTATAGACTATGGATTTAGTATAACTCCACAAGGAAAAGTCTAAAGGAGTGAGATCAGGTGACCTTGGCGGCCACTCGATTAGACCCCTTCTGTCAATCGATTGCCTTGGATAATATTTATCCAACCACCGCCTTGTGACAATAGAATAATGCGAAGGGGCTCCATCTTGCTGAAAGTGTGTGAGGTCTTCATTAAGAGTTATAATAAATTTCTTTGTGTACCAGCTTTTTTTTCTCGCAATGGTTCATGGATACAAAAATAATTCATTCTATTGATTTTGACACGTTTTGACATTTTTGTTTTATTTTTAGGTTCTATTTTTTTCGTTCTTTTTTATGACAGTCGTTGAGCATTTTTTATACGCTTTCCAAAGAGGTGTCACAAGTGGGGTATCGCTATCTTGAGGTTAGAAATGAGGGGGTGGCACCTAGGGGTGGGTCGGGGTAGTTTAAAAAAAAAACTCATTTAGCTGGGTCCCAATTTGTAACATATGCTGAAAAAATCACTTTTCTCATTAATGCCAACCTAATTTTTCGTGTAAGGGGTAGTTTTTCAATTTCACCCTAAAAACTTTATGATCATCGTTTAGCATTTTTCATGGGCTTTCCAAAAAGGCACCACAAGTGGGGTGTTGCCATTTAAGATTGTTAAGTGAGTAGTGGTGCCGCCTTAGGGGTAGGTCGGGGTGGTTCAAAAAATACGTCATATGTATTCCCCCTCCATATTACAGAAATGGTATTTTTTATTTTTTCGATATTTTTTTTGGTTTAAAAATTATAGCCATTGTAAATTTTCAGGGGCCTGCCCTGTAATATTTACCTATCGTGTGATGTCTTTATTTTACCGCTATTCCAGTTTTTAGTACCATAAACGAGATGGTATACAAACTTTATTGGTGGCTAATACAACGCTCCCGGTCTGCACTTACTTTTCTCTAAATTTATCCTTCACTTAAAAAAACACAAAATACACTTCTGCTATATTTTCTTCGCAGATAGTATGTGAAAATCTTTACCAATAAAAAAGTTACACGATTGCTGAAAATTACTATGCACTAAAAGTAAATGGACGGTTTTGTTAAATTTTGAATAGAAAAAAACAAGCCATCAATTTTTTCTCATTTAAATATATTGTAAAATATCCTAACTTCAAATTAAAAAAAAATCAATATCTTTTTTCAGTATCTAAACTGGTTCTTGTGTTATTTGTTAAAAAGTTGAGTTTTTAAATTATGGCGATTACTGACGTTTTTTCGGTATAAAAATATGGACATACTAACGATATCCTTATAATCCCGCCATTTCAGATGCTCAGAAACATATCTTATGATTTTGTCTAGATATCTTTTCAAAGAAAAAGTCTTTTAAAAATAAGCGGTTTGCGATCGTGATTTTACTTTACCTCCTTCACTTGCTCCAATTTACTTCCACACATGTTAATACCGATCCAAAAGCAAGAGTTGCCAGCATAGTATATGAATACCTCAAATATTTATAAATTTCCTTTTTTTTCATAATAATTTTTTTATATTTTTCTTTCTACTATTTCTAACTTGAAAAGAGCCAAGCCAAGGCCAAACGCGTGACAATGGTACGAATGGTCGTCGTCTCGGCGCACTCAGTGATAAGGTGTTCTGATGTTTCCCCATTTTCTCTACAGAATCTGCATTCGCGGTTGTTTCTCAGCTTCAGCCTACTGAGGTGTTCGTTGAGAAGACAGTGTCCTGTTAGAAACCCCGTGACAATCCGAAGATTGTTTATACTTAAATCAAGGAAAACCTTTGATTTTTCTCGATCGTAAGTCCTGAGGAACTTTTTCCAGTGTCTTAGACCGTTGGAAGACATCCATTGCAAGTTACGGATGGAGTCATCCAGATTCTTCAGTTCCGCTCTCAGTTGGTTCCCATTTGGAAAACAGAACGGTTCTGACCCAGAACCGTTCGCTCCTTTAGTAGCTAGATTATTTGCTTTTTCATTGCCTTCTATCCCTTGGTGAGCAGGCACCCAGCGTAGGAGGACTTTATTTTTTTTGTTTAATTTGTTTAGCTTCTCTATCTTTCACCAACTTCGAATTGATCTAGGAGATATACAAAAGAAAAAAACAAATAGGCTTAAAATATATCCTCCTATAAACCAATAAGCTCAATAGAGACTAAAATGGGGTTTTTGACAACACAAGCAAAGAATCGAACAAAGACATTATATTTTTCCTCATTCTCCTTGTGTAGCCCCCGCAACTAAATAATTCCAGTATCGAGTAAATTTTCGGGGTCGCGATAACGAAATAAATCCTTTTTACGGGTTGTGCCACTTCTGCACGATCCATTGTTATTCGGCAGAAAACGTATTCCCCAACAATAAACCGCACTTTTCTCCTTCCCCACTTAATCGCCTACGTCATCGCGTCGAGAGTGCAGGCCTGCAGGGCCCAACTCTTCGTTCTCCGGCGCGGCAATCAGAGCCGAGAGCGCCGCGTCCGTCTACGGTCGAACGTAGAAGCTCGCGCAAATGTTTACTCTCGCTGTGAAAGATGTTCATTTAATTCGATTTATCGTGTGAAGACAATAAAAATCGTGAGTAAGGTTGGTGAAATTGAAGTTCGCAAGACTGGTTCGAATAGGACAGGGTATAAATACGTTTTCTTAAAGCTCGTGGTATGATTATTTATTCGGACCTAACCTCTTTGTAAACTGAAAGAAGATATTGTAAGACGACGTTCTAAGAAAAACTGAAAAAATGTAAGTAAAAAAAGGAAATACAAAAATTATTCCAAGAAAACTGAAATTAATTCTACTGAAACATTTATATTTTGACGAGAAATTATTAATATATTATATTATAGATAAACATTTTTTGGTATAATTGGCAAGATTATTTTAATATGGTAGCAAAAAATTTACACTTGTTATGAAAGTTGTTCAAACTAAAATTATTCTAAGTAATATTCAGATATTTATAGTTTAATAATAAATTAGTAATTATGTATCGTACTTACCAAAATTGTGATAAATAATTGTAATAATACGAATATTATAGATGATAATTTTTGTTATTATAATTGGCATGATTATACTCGTAGCTTTGTAAGATAGCGAAAATAGTTAACCTCGTTGTGAAAGATGTTCATTTGAACCGATTTGTCATGTAAAGATAATAAAAATCGCAAGTCTGCGTGAACTATTCTTTTGAATTGGACAGTAAGTATAATCAAGTTAGGGTTTAAACTCGTGCTATGATTATTTATTCGGACCGAAACTAAACCTTTGTAAACTGAAAGAAGATATTGTAAGACGACGTTTTAAGATAAATTGAAAGAATGTAAATAAGAAGGAGAAAAGTAGATATTTATTTTTTACCCATATTTTGTATCATATCTATTAACTCTCTATTGTATTTGAGGAGACTAAACATTACTATCTGAGCTGAATAAATTGTCGTAAATAATTTAGATAATATTCAGACATTAGTTTAATAATAGATTAGTAATTGTGTACTTACCAAAATTGTGGTAAATAATTGTAATAATACGAATATTATAGATGATAATTTTTGTTATTATTGGCATGATTGGCAAAAGTAGTTACTTTCGTTGTGAAAGATGTTTATTTAATTTGATTTGTCGTGTGAAAACAATAAAATTCGCAAATCTGCGTGAACTATTGTTTTGAATTGGAGAGTAAGAGTAATCAAGTTATGGTTTAAACTCGTGCAATGATTATTTATTCGGATTTAACCTAAACCTTTGTAAACTGAAAGAAGATATTGTAAGACGACGTTCTAAGATAATTTGGAAAAATGTAAGTAAGAAGGACGAAACTTTATTTATTTTTTGTCTATATTTAGTATCATATCTATTCACTATTTGTCGTATTTGAGGAGACTAAACATTATTAGGAAAATTAGATATTTATTTTTTACTTATATTTTGTATCATATCTATTAACTCTTTGTCGTATTTGAGGAGACTAAACATTACTATCTGAGCTGAATAACTTGTAAATATTTTAGATACTATGACACCGGAAATTAGAAAGAATTAAATTTTGTCATAACTATCTCCGTTGTGATAATAAATACTGTACATATTTTAAATAGTAATATCTTAAAATTATCCTATATTTATTTTATTAATAAGAAATAAGTAATTGTGTATAGTACTTACCAAAATTGTGGTAGATAATTGTAATAATAGGAATATTATAGATGATATTTTTTTATTATTGGCATGATTGGCAAAAATAGTTACTTTCGATGTGAAAGGTATTCATTTAATTCGATTTGTCGTATGAAGACAATAAAAATCGTAGGTCTGCGTGAACTATTATTTTGAATTGGACAGTATGAATAATCAAGTTATGTTTAAACTCGTGCTATGATTATTTATTCGGACCTAACCTAAACCTTTGTAAACTGAAAGAAGATATCGTCCTTTTGTTGCCAAAAGTCACTAACTAACATTTTTCCGAAAAAAACAAATTCAATCACTATGTTTTGAAGCGGAGAATCGATTGCAAAAGTCATTAACTACGATTTCTGGCTATTTATGTTTTATTTTAATACCGAATAGTTACTAACTATAACATCTTTATGCAATGCAATTCATCTTTAGACGCATTTTTCTCGGAAGTAATAAAAAGTAAGTTAGTGACTTTTGGCAGCAATGGGACGATATTGTAAGACAACGTTCTAAGAAAAATTGAAAGAATATAAATAAAAAGGAGAAAACTATATATTTATTTTTTGTCTATATTTTGTATGACACCTATTCACTATTATAAATAGTAAATCAATTGTAAATAATTTAGTTACTATGAGACCGAGAATTACAAAGTTATTCCTACATATTTTGTCATGGATATCTTCGTGGTAATAATAATTACTATAGATATAAATAGTAATATCCTAAAATGATTCTAAGCAATATTCATACATTTATAGTTTAATAATAAATTAGTCATTTTGTATCGTATTTTGTTGTATCGTGTTTGTACCTAAATTGTGATAAATTATTGTAGTAATACGAGTATTATAGATAATAATTTTTGTTATTATAATTGGCATGATTATACTCGTTAAGATAGCGAAAATAGTTACCCTCGTTTTGAAAGCTGGTCATTTAATTTGATTTGTCGTGTAAAAACAATAAAAATCGCAAGTCTGCGTGAACTATTATATTATTATATGTAAAGAAGATATTGTTCTAAGATAAAAGACAATGTTCTAAGATAATTTGAAAGCATGCAAGTAAGCAGGAGAAAAGAATATATTTATTTTTTGCCTATATTTTTTTATCGTATCTAGCAACTCTTTGTCATATTTGAGAAGACTAATAGAATATTGTGTGTTTTATTAGGAGTAAAAATAATACTTTTTGTGGCGAAGCTGTACGTTCAACGACATACAGCGGAGGCACAAAAAGCCATTTACGATCATCCTAAGATTATTCTAGACATTTACAGTTTAATAATGGATTAGCAATTGTGTATCATACTTACCGTAATTGTGATAAATAATTGTAATAATACGAATATTACAGATGATAATGTTTGTTATTATAATTGGCATAATTATACTCATAGATTTATAAGATAGCGAAAATAGTTACCTTCGTTGGGAAAACTGTCCATTTGATTTGATTTGTCGTGTAAGGACAATAAAAATTGAGTGAGTAAGGCCTGGTGAAATACATTTTTTGAATACAAAGACAGGACAGAGAATAAACAAGTTTTATCTAAAGCTCATGCTATGGTAATTTATTTCGACCTAATCTACATTAAATTAATATATTGCGGGACGACGCCGACGTTCTAAGAAAAATTGAAAAAATGTAAGTAAAAAGAAATAAAATACATATATTAATAAATAGTACTGAGGCTGTGGTTGGTTCCTTGTGAAACATCGTTGAAATATTAGTATTTTAATAAAACTTTTAGATGTATCAAAAAAAATTTAATGAGTAACTTTAACTCTACATATATGTTTCGGCTTGTTAGGCCTTTTTCAAGAGTTTTTTTTAAAAACTAATCGTCTAACTACACTGTAACTATATATATATTTACTATGGGGGTTCAGAGAGTTTACAATAGGGGTAATAAAAAATGTGTTTAGAAATTCTTGTTGATCGTTAACATTATTTTCATTTTTAACAGATTTTAGTATTTCTCACTGTTCAATGTAATTTAAGCGTCTGCCTTTTATTTCTCTGTGTAGTAACTTAATTGAGTTTTCATTAATTCTGTGATTATTTACTATACATTGAGTTGCGAGACATGCTGGAGATTATTAATAGACTTTATATGTTCTTTAATCCTTATACCTAAATTTCTACCTGTTTTGCCTATGTACACGGCATCACAATCATTGCAATCCACCTTATATATACCCGACTTATTTTTGACATTAGTTTTGTCTTTATTAATTAATAAAATTTGACCTAAATTTGTTTTATTTACGTAAATAGTTTTATATCCTATTTTATTGAGATTATTTGATATTTTGTTAGTTAAATTAGGAATGTAGTTTAAAAGTCGATAATTGCTATTGTCTTTAGAATTAGCGGAATAAAAATTAGAAAGGCCTAACAAGCCGAAACATACAGGGTGAGTTTCCTAGGATGTTCTCTATGGGTATCTCGGAAACTACTTCAGATAGAGAGTCACTTAAATGGGAAAAGAATTGGAGTTTTGTGGGGTCATAAATATGCGCTTTTCAAATTTTCGAAAAAGTTCATAGCTTAATAGATATTTCGAAAATAACAAATTTTGGCTATTTTAAAAATTGTTCCTAATTCCATTATAATCTATTTTAGACAAAAAGTTTTCAGATAAAAGTTGTAGATAATAACATCCCCAATGAGGCTGTGCTCTCCGATTTTTTTCTAAAGCCAGTCATTTTTGACATATGACACAAACATATGTTTTTTTAAATGGAAACCATAGTTGGCCATGACTTCATAAATAGCGCCATTTTTTAAGCTTTTCAGCGATATAAGCTATAATATGTTTCTTTAACAAAATTACTGAGTTATAGCCAATTCTTATCTTTCTTGACTAATTTCACTTAGTTAGCCATGGAAACCAGTTTAATCGTCGTTGCTCTCAGTAATGTGAAATTGTCGCATCCAATCTTTGTAAATTAAAATAAACAAAAATTGTAAATATGAGTTTTTCAAATGAATAAAAGCGTGTAGGATTATTGATTCAACTTTTCTTGGCCATACAGTTCCGAGAATACGTTGACCGGTGAACGTTACTTATGTTTTTTAGAGAACGGTTTTCAAGACATGTTAGAAAAGTTAAATTTAGATACTCGCGCATTAATAGAGTGGTTCCAACATGACTTTCATTATGACCACGACAAACCCCCCCACCCCCAACAATGTAAGAAATGTTACAAATTATTTCATTATCATAATTATGTAGCCTCAGGGATAGAAAGAGGTGGACCAATTGCATGGGTCTCCTCAGTCACCTGACCTGTCCATTTTAGATTTTTTTTATACGGTATGGTTAACAACAAGGTTTACAAAAGAACTTATGAACTTATGAGAGGCACTCGAAGAGACGGAACAGGAGAAGTTTAATTAAGTCGACCGGTCGTTCTGTGACAATAGCTAGAAATTCAGTTTTAAAAATATGCATTTATGTACTCAAAACAATTGTGGATTTTTTGAACATTTTCTAAAATAACTTAAAGTGTATGTATTGATTATTTTTTTAAGTTTTATAAGTTTTAGTTT